TTACATACATACGTACATACATATACATGTTTGAAAAAATGAATCGATTTAATAAAAAAATTGTTGATTTAGTTTTTTTTTGTTTACATCTATTTTCGGTTAAAAAAATTGTTGATTTAGTTCAATACTATAAATTATTATAAAAATATAGGTTAAAAATTGCATCAATAAATTAAATACAATTATAATTTACTTATTATAAAAAATAAATGTCCAAAGTATATATATCGGTCTCATGGATCTAGATCAGTGAGCTATTACATTTTCTTTAAAGGATACCGCTTCTAAGCTCACCTTTTTCCATTTAGGTATATAATTTTTTTGTCAATCTAGATGTCTAATGTTACAAACGTTATTATTTAAAGGGTTTGGTTTGTGACAGTCGTTAAAAATTCTGTTAAAAATCAATTAGCCAATCAGTGTTCAACACGTGGCCGAATTTTTAATCTTTTAATTTTTAGAAAAATAAAATTCATGAATTTTAAAAAAACCCTCAATTTTTCTTATTTTTCAGAAAATACCCCAATTTTTAGAAAGTGTTTTTCAGAAAATACCGCAATATTTTTCAAAAATCAATTAGACAAATTTCTTGATTTGTCAAGCAAAAAATGAAAAATGATTGCTTAATAAAGGTATGGTCTCCAACTTTCTCTTCAATTCCTCCTTCCCCCATGATTTTATACATGTTTCTAGCGCACAATTTTATTGCACACATTTAGTGAATTATGAAATCAAGCTGGCGATGGGAGGATTAGAGATGAATGGTTGGGTATTTGAGATTTAGGGATTTAAGGTTGAAAATTTGTGTAACTAGGGTGATACCAAGGAAATGACCGACAATGGTAGTCCGTTAACGAGTTGATGGGTGTTCGGTGGGTGGGTAGGCGACCAACGAAGGGGATAATGGCGGAGCCGGTCGAGGAATGGAGTTGAAGATTTGGGGTTAAGAGTTTGAGACCATTTTGAAATTTTAGAGAAATTTTGGGTTTTTTAAAAAAAAAATAATTTTAATACTAAATTTTTAAAATATATATTTTAAAAAATTATAAATACGTCACATATCACATTTTAAGTGGTTGATGATATTTTTTTAACCGTCATTACGGACCAAACACTTAAAATAATATTGTTTGTAACATTAAATACTTAAATTGATAAAAAAAAATAAATACCTAAAGAGAAAAAGATATACAATTGTAACATTTTTTTATAATATACCATTATAATTTGTAAATCTTGCATGTTGCGGGTTAAAGTAAACTTAGACACAATATCTTTCTTCATGTGAATATAATTAATTAGAGATATAAAAAATAAACAAAATTTAAAAATATTTAGAAAGTATAAAATTAAAAACCACACCGTCGGATTTGATCCTTTAGTTTGAAAAATCAAAATAAATAATTTACCTTGAGTTGTGACCCACACATGAAAAAGAATACCTTTACACCTCTATCATGCATACCACCAACCAACCTCACATCATACGCATATAAAGAAACAATTTTAAAATTATAGAAAGACAAAAAAGAGAAAGTGAGAAATGTAAAATTGAAGCAAAGGCCGAACAAAGTGAGAAATGGTGCAACGGTGGGGTCTACTTTGGGAAAGTTCAAGGGATGGAAGCTTAATTTAAGATTAAAGAATGGTATGAAATGAATACAGTAAAAAATATTATAAAAATTATAATAATTTTTAATTGAATGTAACATAAAATATTAATGTTTTATTAACATTTTTATTGAACACAAAAGTTATATATATTTTTATAATATTTTTAGTGATAATACTATTTTTCATAATTGGTTGTTGAACCGAAAATGTTAGAAAAATAAAATTTTAAATTGCGTTCAATCTAAAATGTTATACTTATTATAATATTTTTGATTGTGTTCTTGTTCTTTAGCCTTAAATTAGATTATTCAAAAACAGAGTTATCCGTCTTCTTTGTTACTTGTTAGCTTACTAGTCTCTCTTTCGTGGATAATCCAAGACAATTCTATATCTTTCTTGTGTATGATAAATTAAATTATTTTTTATAAATATAGCCTCGTTTATAAAATATTTTTTTATCGTTGGTATATAATCTCTAAAATAAAACTTTTGTGTGTAGTATGGTTAAGCTATCATTCATTACACATGCATTCGCACGTCATGCCATGAATAAATTCCTACATACATGTATTGCATAAATCATACGCATGCATGTAACAACCAAACAAATGCTAAATAGAAATAAAAGAGTACTCGGTGTGTTGCAGAGTGATACCATAAATTGAAAGAGCTAAATCCATGCATTAATGTCGTGAAAAATAATATAAAAATACAGTATCAACATTACTAAAAAAATCATAACATATTATATATATAACCTTAAAACTTAAATTAATATATTTATAATATATATATTACTTTAAATATAAAAATAGTTTTTTCCTGATCATTTCAGGAAATTGAAATAAAAATAAATTATACAAAGCAATTAATTAATCAATAATTTCAGAAGAAAAAGAAAAAGAAAAAGAAAAAAGCTTAATCAATAGCACACTGCAGGCTGCAGAGTGCAGAGCTGGCCCTTTGATCTTTCATTAGGCATTGGCTGTTTGTTTCTGTTTGCTTTATCAGTCAAGTAATAATACTTGATGATATTATCATGTAGATATATATTTTTCATTTATATGATAACTAATTATATAAATAAAAGGGTAAAGTGTAGTAATGGTCACTGAATTTTTCTAAAGCTTTCATTTAGGTTCCTCAACTTTTAAAACTTATAATATAGTCCTCCAACATTTAGTCCATTTGCAATATGGTCCCCTCCGTTACACTGTTGTTAGTACGTTTACAATATGGTCACTGAACTTTTCAGGCGCTTGCATTTAGGTCTCCCAACTTTTAAAACTTGCAACACAGTCCTCAATTTCATTCTAAACCCCAAATTCCTTTTCGATCTCGAATTTCCTTTTTCACTCATCTCTTCTCATTTCCAGTGTAACTTTTCAGTAGGGGATGGATGAGAAATTCTAATCTAACTTTGAATTATGTGGAGGTGTTGACTTAAATAAGGGTCCATTGAAAGAAGACCCGACCAAGGGACTATCAGGACCATCAACGATTCAAGGTGTAATGTTAGATACAAGTCATCTCAGGTGAAACATAGATGTTCGATGAAATGCTTGTGAGAAAAAAATGGGGTTAGAAATGCAAAGTTGATAAATCCTACTAAGATGAACTAAGTATCATTGTTGAAAGTCACAATCAAAACTGTAATTATTTTGTATAAATTGCATATAATAATTTTTTCGTTTAATCATTGCGGTTAAAGATTTTTCAACAGATGATCAAATATAATGAAATCCCAAACAACGCATTCACATCTCAATCTCTTTTGCAACTCAAAAGGCATCATGACAGGGTCAAGCAGCTGCTCCAAATATACTACCTTGTCATGATGCCTTTCGAGTTGCGTGCATGCAGAATTATCTTCAAAAACTATAATTTAATACAATTCAACTGTAAAATTTTTAAAACATGTAAAAAAAATCCAATTCGTTCACGATATATAAGTTTCATAATCAACATGAACTTATTAAAAAGAATACGAGCTCACAGGACGCCAAAAACCATAGGACGGATCAATACAATTCTCAGTAAACTAGTACTAGCGGTCTCTCGGATTGAGCCTAGCGATATCACTATGTCGATACTCACAACCAATTCACTGATTTAAAGAAAAAAAAACAAACAAGAAGATAAAAAAATTTAGCCTATGACCCTCTTTCACTTCTATTCTGATGGACTGAATATATTTCATAAGGAGTACTAAAAGTTTTGATTAAGAAGAAATAAAGAAAATTAGATGGTTTTGGTTCAAAACTAACACTGAATATCTAGATCATTGACATGCAGTTCCAGAAACATAAAAATTTCAACAAAACACACACAATGCGACTGAAAATGGGAAAGTGCGAAAGAGGAAAAGCTTACTTCCGGATAGCCCAAAAAAAGAAAATAAATACCTTCTTGCAAGTGAGGGGAGAGGCTAAGAAATAAACACAATCGGTGTTGCATTCCAGCAATTCTTCCTCTATTTTTTCTTTGTAAATAAAAAGATGAAAGACAGATCATTGCTTGGGTTTACAATTTTACGTGGAGGAAAATTGAAGAACAAAAACCAAACGAGAATGCATGTGAGCGAAAGAGACTGAGAGGTGAATGCATTGTTTGGGATTTCATTATATTTGATCATCTGTTGGAAAATCTTTAACCACAAGGATCAAACGAAGAAATTATTATATGCCATTTATACAAAATAATTTCATCTTTGTTGGTGACTTTAAACAATGATACTTAGTTCATCTTAGTAGTATTTGTCAACTATGCATTTCTAACCCCATTTTTTTTCTCACAAGCATTTCATCGAACATATATGCTTCACTTGTGATGACCTGTATCTAACATTACACCTTTAATCATTGATGGTCCCGATAGTCCATTGGTCGGGTATTCTCTCAATGAACCCTTATTAAAGTCAACAACTCCACATAATTCAAAGTTAGATTAGAATTTCCCATGCATCCCCAATTGAAAAGTTATGATGAAAATGAGAAGAGAGAAGCGAAAAAAAAATTCGAGATCGAAAAGGAATTTGGAGTTTAGAATAAAATTGAGGACTGTGTTGTAAGTTTTAAAAGTTGGGGGACCTAAATGCAAATGTCTGAAAAGTTCAGTAACCATATTGCAAATGTGCTAACGGCAATATGACGACGGGACCATATTACAAACAAACTAAACATTAGAGGACTTTATTGAAAGTTTTAAAAGTTAAGGGATCTAAATGAAAGCTTTAGAAAGTTCAGTGACCATTACTATACTTTACCCTAAAAATAAAATTATACTTTGAATAATATTTATTGGATTATTATTATGTAGCGTTGAGATATTCAATTTTTTACTAAAAGCACAGCAAAGCTCTTTACTCTCTTCGTTTCTTTCTATGTTTCTCTTTCAATTTCTGTGGGTATGGTTTATTTCCTCAAAAAATGGCTTTTTTGTCAGTCTTTGTTTTATTTTACTTTAATCTATCTCTTAAAGAATCTCGAGATTGCTATCTTTAAGATAAAGACACCATAGTTACCCAGTAGTTTCAAGCTCTCCTTCCCTCCACTTTGTGCTTTGACAGAAGAGAAAAACAAAACCCAATGCAACTCCCATTATCATTATCTGATGAAGGGAGAGGAGGCTCTCCTGTAGGAGAGAGCCTACCTGTGATTTTCTGAAACACCACCATTTCACTCTTATTAATACCAAAACATTCAAAAGAATCAAAACCCAAAGCTCCAATCTTTGCTCCAACTCTGGGTTTGTCTTGTTTTTGGTGATCCCTTTCTCTGTATTATTTTAAACAAAAAAGCCTTTTGGGTGTGTGTATGTGAAAAGAATGGCGTTTTCCATGCACAAAGAGCCACTGAATAGCAAGCAAATTGATAGCAGCAAGTATGTAAGGTATACACCAGAGCAAGTTGAAGCTTTGGAAAGAGTATACAATGAATGCCCCAAGCCTAGCTCTTTGAGGCGGCAGCAGCTCATTAGGGAATGTCCTATTCTTTCCAACATTGAGCCTAAACAGATCAAAGTCTGGTTTCAGAACCGGAGGTTATTCATTTCACTACTTACTCATTTTTCACCATTTTTAGTGTTATTTGAAAAATAAAAAGAAAGATAAATGAGAAACGAACAATGTTCACTGATTTTGTTCTAATTTTCGTGATTATATCTAAATTTCTTACCTTTTTCCTGAGAAAGTAATGAGATTTTTTGATCAAATGTTCTTCAAACCTTTATTTTTATTTAGTAATTTTCTTCTGTAGTTTCTCTTTCTTTTACACTCTAATACCTTGTTGGTTAAAATCTGATCTCATGTCCTTGTGTTTGAAGCATCAAGACAGTTTGAGATTTTGGAGGTCCCACGTAAGCTGTTCTCAACCTTGGTTGGGGGCAGCATACTATCATAGCTCCTCTTACCCCATTACATATGGGAATAAGGGTCAGTTAATTAAGTGCTTTTAGAAATATTTTAAAGACTTGTTTGATTATTTTCTCCTGTTTTCATTGGATTTTAATTGTTTTTAGTATGTTTATTTAGTTCTTATTAGGTAAGCTTATATTTGCACATAGATATGTTTATTTAGAGCTATGTTACACGGACTTGGTTGTGGTGTTGAGTGCTGGATACGAGCACGGCTATGTTTTCCCCATATCTAAGGTCATAGCTAAATTGAGCTTCTTTCTCATTTCTCTCATTAATCTTAAACATATATACAGGTAAACAGATACAGAAAATGCGTCTTTTTATGAGGATTTGTGGATTTTATTCATTGAGTTTGATTAACTCTTGTTGTTTAGATGCCGAGAAAAGCAGAGGAATGAAGCTTCCCGACTCCAAACGGTGAACCGAAAGCTGACTGCCATGAATAAGCTGTTGATGGAAGAAAATGATCGATTGCAGAAGCAGGTCTCACACCTCGTTTACGAGAATGGATATATGAAGAAGCAACTGCAGACTGTATGTGTGTCTATCTTTATTAACTTTAGCTGCAATTGTTTGAAATGTTTGGCATCCTATACTTTGTCAGGTACAATGATTTTTTCTTTCATCAGCTGTGGCTTGTCATGTTCTTGATATCTTGTTTATATCAAGGCTTCGTATGAAACATTTATCAAACTTCCCCAATCCTATGGATGCTCGTCAATTTCGTGAAAAATTAGAATCCGATATTACATAACACCCTGTCAACCTGAATTACTAATGTTTTCAACTGTCACCTTTGTTATTTCTTTTCTTTGGTATGCTTTTTCCAAGGTGTTCCTTCAAAGTACATGGCATCATATTACACTGTTCATGATTTTTCTTATTATTTTTATGATTTGAAACAGGCTTCTGCGACGACCACGGAAAATAATAGCTGTGAGTCTGTGGTCGTGAGCGGTCAGCAGCAACAACAACAAAACCCAACACCTCGGCACCTGCAGAGGGATGCTAACAACCCAGCTGGGTAAGCTAGAAACGATGTCTCTTTGAGACATGATTATGTCATTTCCGATTGGTCTCATTGTCTGTGAACTGTGTTTTCTATTTGCTAGTCTACTCACAATTGCTGAGGAGACCCTGGCGGAGTTCCTTTCGAAAGCTACCGGAACTGCTGTCGACTGGGTCCAAGTTATTGGGATGAAGGTACTGCTCGTTATTCGTTTTCTTTTTCTGTTTTATGTAATTTATACATTTTTGGATTCCCCCCCTTGATATCCATGTCTCCACGTTATTTTTGAAATCTAACCTCAGTGTTTATTTTATACATAGCCTGGTCCGGATTCTATTGGCATTGTTGCTGTTTCCAGTAACTGTAGTGGGGTAGCAGCACGAGCCTGTGGTATTGTGAGTCTCGAGCCCACTAAGGTAATAATTCTCCCAAAAATTTCAAAGCAATTGGTGTGATTAATGTGGTAATGCATGGTATATGATGGATCTTATTACAGGTTGTTCAAATCCTTAAAGATCGTCCATCGTGGTTTCGTGACTGCCGATGCGTTGATGTATTGAGTATAATTCCGACTGCAAATGGTGGAACAATCGAGCTCGTCTATATGCAGGTACATTATTGTAGATACTGCAATTCTTAGTAAGCCATGAAGCTGATTTATGTAAATTTATGATCTTGGCTAATATTTCGGGGTTATTGTTTTAACAGACTTATGCGCCTACAACATTGGCTGCAGCACGGGACTTTTGGACTCTGAGATATACTACGAGCTTAGAAGATGGTAGTCTTGTGGTAAGTTATATGCTGGTCTGTATAATTCACCTTTGGTCTCTCATTGTTTAGCAGGATTGAGTTCCTCTAAGACCGAGCTCGTTTTTAATAAACCATGTCAAACTTCTTTTCTTAGTGAAATAGCTTTTTCTTCATTTGCATGTTTGTTTTAATCCTCAACGTTTAAGGTGGTCTTTAATGTGTTTGCTTTGCTTGTAATTTATGCACAGGTATGTGAGAAGTCGTTAACATCTTCTACCGGTGGCCCTACTGGGCCTCCCACTTCATGTTTCGTAAGAGCTGAAATGCTTCCTAGTGGCTTTCTAATCAGACCTTGTGAGGGTGGTGGCTCTATCATTCATATTGTTGATCATGTTGATTTAGATGTAAGGATGTTCAATTAACAATTCATGATTTTTAGTAAATTGAAACCGATTCCGTTAGTTGCGTTACTGTTTTTTGTACCTCTTTATGCACTAGATTTGGAGCGTTCCTGAAGTTCTCAGGCCACTTTACGAATCGTCCAAAATTCTTGCTCAGAAAATGACAATTGCTGTAAGTTCATGATCGAGACCGTACTTCTTTTAACGTGTCTGACATTTCTTGTCCGAGTTTATCTTACTTTCTGTCATGCAGGCCTTGCGGCATATACGGCAAATTTCTCAAGAGACAAATGGAGAAATTAAATATGGTGGTGGTCGTCAACCTGCTGTTTTACGCACTTTTAGTCAGAGACTTTGCAGGTGAGGCACTCACCGTGATATTGACACATCTGAGTAACGAATCTATTACTATCTGTATTACAGTTCTGTGTCACCGAGTCAAACGGGATGGGACAAAGAGTCCAAAAGTTTTGGTTTTATTTAATTTGTCATTTCTATCTTTCGCTGATTGTTGTTTAAATGATGTTAGGGCCTTTAATGATGCTGTAAATGGGTTTGTCGACGATGGTTGGTCGCTTATGGGTAGTGATGGTGTTGAAGATGTGACCATCATGATAAATTCTTCGTCGGGCAAATTTATCGGGTCTCAATACAATGCCTCGATGGTACCATCTTTCGGTGGAGGTGTACTATGTGCCAAGGCCTCGATGCTGCTTCAGGTGATTTCCATGATGCAGAATATCATTCGAGATAATTCCCTTCCATTGCATTATCTTTATCTTCTGTCATTAGGCCCTACATGATGTTGTTGTAATTCTTGCACTATGGATCTGCAGAATGTCCCTCCTGCATTGCTTGTTCGGTTTTTGAGGGAGCATCGGTCTGAGTGGGCTGATTATGGAGTCGATACCTACTCCGCAGCTTGTCTTAAACCTAACCCTTACACAGTTCCATGTGCTCGAACAAGTGGCTTTCCTAGTAGTCAGGTCATTCTACCTCTTGCACAAACTGTAGAACATGAAGAGGTGATCATTCTCATCTATTATTTTTCATTTTCAATTAATTCTATTTGATCAATTTTCTTTTAATTTTTTTTGTAAAATCTTTGCTGTAGTTCCTCGAAGTTGTTCGTCTAGAAGGCCATGCATTCACGCCTGAAGATGTAGCTCTGGCACAGGATATGTACTTATTGCAGGTTAGTTTTGTGTTGTGATGTGAGTTGTGTTTATTTCTAGGTTGCTGGAACGTGGTGAGTCAGTGTTGCATAGGTTTATTTGCACCCAAGTAGGAATCTTTATTTCTGTATTTTCCTCATTATTCCTAAAATTCGACGTTGCAGCTTTGCAGCGGAATTGATGAAAATGCAGTCGGTGCCTGTGCACAGCTCATCTTTGCACCTATTGACGAATCCTTTGCCGATAATGCTCCATTGCTCCCATCCGGATTTCGAGTCATACCTCTTGATCCCAAGACAGTTTTGGTGGTATGTCAACCTAGTTCTTTGAGATTTTTTTGAGTGCTAGTACTTTATGTTTGATTTTTGAAAAAATAAAATAAAATAAAATCCGATTCGGAGAAACTCTCAAACATATGCAACTCATTGATTATTAATTTTCTTTGCTTTAAACTTATGCTATATTGTTTAAGTTGATTTTCCCATTCACTGTTATACTTATTTTCCTCTACCTTTTGTCCATGACTTTTGTATCGTAGGATGGACCGGGAGCAACTCGGACATTGGATTTGGCTTCTGCACTTGAAGTGGGTCCTGGAAGCGATCACCTGTCCAGTGATTGCGAGCCAAACAATTATAACCTTAGGTCGGTCTTGACCATTGCATTCCACTTCACTTTTGAGAATCACCTGAGGGATGATGTGGTTTCTATGGCACGCCAATATGTACGTAGCGTTGTGGGATCGGTTCAAAGGGTTGCCGTGGCTATTGCTCCATCCCGTGTTAGCTCCGGCTTGGAACCAAAAACCTTGCATGGTTCTCCTGAGGCTCTTACTTTGGTGTATTGGATTTGCCGAAGCTACAGGTTAGAGTTCGGTTTATGCCATATGATTTTGTTTTGTTTTAATTTTACCCGAACAAGGTTCTCAACTTTGACTCTATCCACATTTGTTGTTACGAGTCATTGTTATTGAGTTGTGCTGGAGATACTGGCTATTGTTGTTGATGAACCTTATGTTGCTTGGAACAACTCAGGATTCATACGGGAGGAGAACTTCTTCGAACAGATTCACAATTAGCTGGTGATGCTTTGCTGAAGCAACTGTGGCATCATACAGATGCGATAATGTGTTGTTCGTCGAAAACAAATGTAATGAACATTCTCTTTTCGGGTTTCTTTTTGATAAATGCACTTGAGTAATTGTGTCGTACATGGCTATCAGACTAATAGAACTGGTGGATTTACTTGTATTTCAGGCGTCGCCTGTTTTAACCTTTGCAAACCAGGCTGGACTTGATATGCTGGAAACTACACTGGTGGCCCTTCAAGACATAAGGCTGGACAAAATTCTTGACGAAGCCGGCCGGAAGATTCTATGCTCAGAGATCATGCAACAGGTAAAATCGACATCGAGCTCCAACATTTAATGAAGTTATTGATTTGGTGTTATAATTCGTTATGCAGCAGGGGTTTGGTCATCTCCCGGGAGGGATATGCGTATCGAGTATGGGAAGGCGGGTGTCGTACGAGCAGGCTATTGCATGGAAGGTTGTGGACGAGGATGCCACCAATCACTGCCTTGCCCTCATCTTCATCAACTGGTCTTTCGTCTGAGATTACATGTATCCATTAACTTATATATCTGGTTTTACTACTGATCAAGAAGAAGAAGATATATATAATATTTATGAATGAATGGCAGGATTTTAATCAAGTGTTTATGGGATTATTATATATGGGCGTTTTTTGGTTATTTCTCCATATAGAAATGAAGCCATTGTCCATGGCTACCTTCCTATCTAATCTAACATCTCTGTACGCAGTAACGCAGATAACTTCATCACGGATTTTTATATTTATGGGGTCAGGGTGCATATATATATATATATATGCATGTATACATGCATACCATGATATCTTTATGATGTATGCATGCATGTGAGAGTAAGACAAGGCATCTAAATACCCTGTTGTTCCAGCGTTTGAGAAAATCGAGGTAATGGTTTTAAAAGAAGTATGTTTTCGTGCATTGCATTCAAATGCCTACTTGATTTTACTTTACATATGTATTGGGATAAAATATACGTCATTAAATAATCGGTTACAAATAAATTATTTTTAGCTTATAATTTAATTATTTAATTATTTTGACAAAATTATTTAATTAAAATACTGTTATTTATGTCATTAATGTTAAATATTAGAAAGAATAATAATAATTTTAATTTTAAAATTCATAGATTTTATAAATTTTATTCCAAGTAGAAAATATTTACTAAATTGTTTATTTTTCTTTTAGGTCGAATGTTATTTGTTTTGATAGATTCACTTGGATTGATGATAAACTAAATTTATATAATTTTTAAATATTAATTAATAAATTTATTAAATTATTTTAACTTAGGATAAAATTAATAAAATATATATTTAGTGATTAAAATTAGGGTAAATTATATCAGATACCATTGAATTTTAGGCATTGTATAATTTATATCATTGAACTTTCAATTTTACCAATTATAACATCGAACTTTAATTTTCGTTTCAATTATGTCATTGAATCGTTAACGACACAATGACATGGTTGACGACTACCAACGTGGCAAACAATTGTCGATATGGACACCTCACTAGAACAACATCGTTTTGATCCGACTATTAACGATCTAGTGGTATAACTAAAACAGAAATCAAAGTTCAATGTTATAACTGGTGAAATTGGAAGTTCAATTGTATAAACGATACAACGTCTAAAGGTTGGTGATATTTGGTGTAATTAACCCTTAAAATTATTTTATATAAATTTAACGACATGATGAAATATTTATAAAAATATTTTAATGAGATGATTATAAAATAATTTTTTTTTAATTTAACAACATGATGAAATATTTATAAAAATATTTTAATGGGATGATTATAAATTAATTTTTGTTCAAAATTATTTAAAACTCTTGACAACACACATATATCATGAAAATATTTCAGGACTTTTAGAGGAAACAAAACCCTTTATTAATTAATTATATTACAACTTTTAGAAGGAAAAAAATCATTTATAACCAAACTAATAATTAGTGACCTTAGAAATATTTTACCCTACATTCTAATTCTTATTTTACTTATGAGATTGATGATGAAATATTTAAATTTTCATATATATATTAATTTATTCCAAACTCAATTTTGTTTAATATTTTGACCTTGGTCAGATTGAGTTTTAGCAAGCATTATTAGCACAAAAGTTCGACTCCATAGAGCAAAGCACGGTCCTAATGAAATACATAATGATGTCAAAATTTAAACTTATGTTTACCCCATGCAAAATGCTGGGGTTGAGCACTACAAGCATTCATTCATTCAATATGAGACGTCTACATGAAACTCGACCTAATTCAAAGCTCGGATGCTGCTTCCACTTCATGAAATAAACGGACTCCATTCTCCGCTATAGCGTTACTCGGAAACGTAACCGTCTTTCCATTGATTATCAATGCAGAGCTGGGAAGAAAATTTTGACCTTCTTTGGGACTTTAATACCGCATCAAGAGAAACCCGGAATTTCCCCCGGCATCGGAGCGAGCTCATTCTTACTAAATCTCTCAATGCAAGCTTTAACAACCCTACCCCCAAAAAAACGACCATCGAGGTCAATTAATGCTTTAGTTGTTTCCTCTGATCTCTCAAACTGAATAAAGATTCTGACGGCTTCATCGACTGGGAAATTTGGCTCTGTTATCTCAAATATCAGAACTCGGGTAACAGTTCCATACTTGGCACACTCGGATCCAACCTCGTCTTCTAATTCATCATCTACCTCACCGGGACCAACCTTCAAAAAGTAAATAGTTATCCACTCTCACCATTATTGATTGCAGTCATTAAGACAGCAAAAAATATCTTTATATCCTCTGTTTTCCCATATCCATGTCTAAAAATATATCAAACATGGGAGTCATACAAGGATCTATAAGAAAACAAAAGAACTGGAGAAAACATAGTTCAAAATGACAAGGGATAGAACTAAAAGGAGATTAAATAAAACATAAGCAGCACTGAATTACAGACAAAATTAGTGGATCCACAACCAACATTAGCATTCTACTAAATCCTAAAAAAAAGATACCTTTTATCTCACTAATGTGAATCAATACAATGCAAGCTAATCATCAAATTCATAAAGCTTCCAAGAATTTAGCAGAGCTTGGTACAAACAATAGATTTGCTTTCAGGAAAAAATAAACCAGCAAACAGAAACTCTAGCAGTTAACAATAAGAATTAGACAGTATCTGCTATTCCTGCAGAAACTCTTGGTAGGAATAACCAATGCAATTGGTAAAATATTTAATCCATAATTACAGATGCAATGATTGTTCCACTCCAAGTTACTAATAGTACAACCGAAGTTAGAGGACTAGAAACCAAAAGAAAAGAAAAAGGAAGACTTAATCTTCCTCCTCAAGCAGTCTTTTGGTAGGAGAGCCTATGGGACGTATACAGTTAAAAGTAGATCAGATTGAAACAAGAAAAGTCCAGTAGTTAGTGCAATGTGGCGAGCACTAAAAGGACTACAGGGAAAACGACCATAGCTACAATGTGCTATGAGCATCACCTATGACCAAAGAGAGCACCTTAAAACAATATTTCAACCAAAAAGTTAAAATCAAAATTGTACAATAGCAACTTTGAGCTATGTTACTAAGCATCTTCATTTTTCTTGGAATACTCATATCTGACACATATTGGACATGGTTTGGGGATATTATTTTCCAGGACCCTCCAAATACATGAAAAAACTTGAAAAAAATTGAATATACGTTCAACACTTAAACCTGAGACCAAGTAATATAGCTAGGAAACACACTTTGAGCAGTGAAGTGCAAGTAAAACAAGGACAAAATTGCAAGAAGCAGCATCGAGAAATTTACAGTTCAGTCACAACAATCAAAGGCAAATGTCAAAAGCTGCAAGCAACAGAATGCATAAAAAAGGATATGCCGGAAAGCTACGTTATGTCAACTCTTCATTTTCCTCAAAATACTCAAATCCTAAGCATTCGAACATGGCTAATGTGCTACTTATCCTCTATAACCATCATGGAAATCTTTTAAAAAATAATATAATCGTGAGTCTGAGCGAAATAGATGGAAAACACACTGTGAGCAGCAAAGTTTAAACTGCAACCGGATATGATAAGTAAAACAAGGACAAAATTGCAGGAATGAGCCTAGAGGAATTTACAGTTCACTCACTATAATCAATAACAGCAAGCATCAAAAAGCATAATGAGCTACAGTATATTAGAATATACTAGGGAGCTATGTACTCCGAGTCTTCATTTTTTCAACATACTCATATCCGATGCATTGGGACATGGATTACGGATGACATAGCTAGAAAAACACATTTGAGCAGTGAAGTTTAAATTGCAATCAGATATGGCATGTATGTAAAACAAGTATAAAAAGGAGCATCTAAAGGAATGTAGATGAGCAATTAGGCATTACCATGTTCCTAAGCAGCAAAACACGAGTAGGGGGGCCATTGAAGCTAACACTCTTAACCTTCTTGTCAGGCTTGGGAGTCTCACTGGCATTCACAATTACACCAGCTCTCCTATCAGTCTTCTTGGCCATCAATGGCGTAGTAATCCCTTGCTCCTGTTTCCCAAGACCCTGACCTTCTTTCCACCCCATTTTGGCCATCATTCTTTGGGCGGCAGTCATCTGCCCGCCTGCCCCAACTCTCAGTCCACTTGTCTCCGACTTTCCAATAGTAAAACCCTCAGCTTTTCCCGGTGGCGGAGATGGGGACCTTGGAACCCCGCCGCTCGTAGCTGCACGCCTTCTCCAAGCTTCCTCGCCTGAAATATTCAGCCTTGAACCATTTAAATCTCTTTCTCTTTCCCCCTCCCTTTCCTCCTCTTCTCTCCGTCTTCTCTCCAATTCCCTCCTCATCTCCTCCTCCATAGCCTTCCTCTTCCTCTCCCTCCGGTATTCCTCATAGTCATTGGGCCTGGCCGTATCATACTCTTCTATTACACTGGAAGTGACGCCCACAAGTGCAGGCTGTTGTTGAACCATGCCTTCGGTTGACATCTCCACGGGGGAGGGTGAGATGGAGGAGGTAACGGAAGAAGTGGTGGTTTTGGGAACGGGATTCTTGGGTTTGTTTTGGGATCTGAGGATGGTCTGCGGCGGAGCAAAGCCGGAGAAAGGCTTGCGGAGAGTCGGAGGAGCCATCTTCGTGCTGCTTGACCATACCGTAGTGTTACTGCTCGGCTGGTTATCCTCATCGGACGGCGGCGGAAGATCTCCGTACAACCTACCAAGCATTTTTTAATCACTCCTTCACTTTTCCCCGTAGAATAACCAGAGATTCAGAAAGTTAAATTGCTATGAAAATTCAATAATAAAATACAATATGAAGTTTTTGGAATTCAGAGCAAATAATTTAGATTTTCACCTCCGAGAAAGATGGGTATCTAGGCGACGCCGTTTCTTTAATTTTTTCTTAGTAGTTCGATATAAATTTTAAATATGCTTTACATATTTTTATACATTAAAAATCAAAACAAATCAAATAATTTATCTAGTGATTATTTGTTAAGAAAATATGAGTAATTTTTAAAATATTTATTCTCACATATAAAATATTCTTTTTTTCATGTAAATTTTCAAAAAAAAAAACTTACTACGTGTTTCAAACTAAATTTATAATGTAGTAACATAAAAAACTTCTAAACTTTTTATAAAAAAATACCATATATACTTTTTAATATTGATATTATAATACATTATTTTTTATTTATATAATATGAAACTGCATAAATTAATTGAAAACACATTTAACGAATTTAAAAGTTTTAGAATGGATTTATACGAGTCTTTGCGGAATTTGAATAGAATTAATCAATTAATGAATTAAATACCGAGAATATTATTTTTATATAAAACATTATTAAATAAGTACATGAAGCAAAGGACAAATGAAAGGCAATTCATAAGAAATCGTACCTATAATCGGCCCTTTGACATTCATGGAAAAAAGGTCCAACTTATGTCATATTAACATGTTTTTTTTTATCTTGAACTAAACATTTTCCTGATTGAATTCACAAGAAGAACCTATACAGCAGATCAAATGTTGCATTTACCTGCTGCTCTCGAATCTGCCAAAATACATAAACTTTGCATGGGTGGGGGATAAAGAATCATCAACTCCAACCAACAACAACAATTCCCGGTTAAGGATTGCGTCGATGGTCATGTGAAAACAGCTGCATCCTTCAATGTCAACCAAGCAGTTTCCATAGCTCTCATCAGATCAATGTCGCCACGGAATGAGTAGATCCACTAAACCATTTTTTTTGGAATATACATTTAGTTCACTGTCTCCTTCGCCGCCGTCACCTCTTCAGCAGCCTCAGAGGCAGACCCTGTTCCCGAGGCTGTCTCATCATCCTCAATAACTGGTGGACTTGGACTGACATCACTGGATTGGGGGCTTGAACCAAGGTTTTCATTTTTTGGCTCCGAGGCAGTTTCACTTGTATTGTCCAAGGATGATGATGGAGAAGGTTTGGTAATATCATCCGGGTCATGACCACTGCCTGTATCCTCCAGTTTCACTTGCAGTTCACCATTTCGTACAGTAGCATATCCATCAGAAAGAGATGCTCCGGCGCCATCTGAGATATCTCTCCATTCAACCCAAGAAGGTAGTTTATCATTTGCATTGGGTACAGCTTCCTTAGAATTGTCAGACAGATCAGCAGAGCTAACTTCTAATTTTGCATCAGGTAGCGGAGAGGATGTTGCCGTATCATCCAAGTCATTATCTTTTCGAACCACCTTCTTATCATCTTCACCATTACCATTGACAACATCAGCTTCATCAGTATTAGGTGATGCACAAGGCAAAGCACCAGTTGAATGTTCACCTGAAACCCTGTCATCTTCAAACGCAAACCAGTTGGAATTTGTGAAAAGAGAACCACTACAGCAGATCAGAAAATGCCCCACCAATTAGATCAAACAAATGAGTTAACACAAAATATATATCACAATAGCGAGCAAAGTGATGAAATTCTAATTCCGACCACCTCATTCAAAAGAAGATTTCAACCAACCTTTCTTGGTCATCACCTAGGCGTAAAGAAGATATTACAACCTCAGCAGATTCATCATCAAAGTAAACATCCTGAAAAGTATAATCAGAATAGATGTTTTTTATTATTCAAAAAGATAAAATTGAAAAGAAATGAAAAATAAGTGTCAGGGAGAGGGTATGTTCTTCAAGTTACTTAGGCATTGAGTCCGACGTTGATATGTTTAATTTCTTCTATTTTTTTCCATTTATTTGGAAGGTCATATGCTTTAAACATGGGTGTCGGACACAGGTAAGAAAACAAAGAATTTGAGCAACACGGGATTCTCTTGATGATAAAAGAATGCAAAATCATTAGCCAGAATTCGCAGCTTTGCACTAAAACTAGAGCGAAAAGCACAGAGAGGAAGAGTCTTCATAATAAATTTTAGCTAACTTTTTTCTTACATAACTATTCAAATGACCAATTCTCCAGCTACAGACTTTAAATTGAGATCACAGAACATAACATATACCTCATCATCACGTTCAAGTGAGCCATGTACCTGAAATATATGAAAAAAATGATATCAGCAAATTAAAAAACAGCAGCGCATACATGAAAAAATGAGACCAGCGAACTAACAACAAGCAGTGCATTTGAAATCAGGGTGTTTACTAATTTAACAGAATGAAAACAGAGACAAATATATGAAATAAAACGGTATCTGAACTAAATGCAGAAAAGAAAGGACATTGAATTAAAAGAGCTAACAAGTTTGGTTTGGAAATAGAAGATAAAGATATTGCGGAAGTAATATGAGAATAGTAGGGAAAACCTGTTACTCGGACTCAAATATGAATATTAGATGCAAATATGTGTTCAACACAGATATGTTCAATTTTATTCAAGTTTTCCGTGTATTGGAAGGGTCCTTAGAAAGTCATATCTCATATATATGTCCAGTATGGATGTCAAGCACAAATGTCAGACAGAAGTACTTCATGAAAAAATGAAGAGTCGAAGTAATATAAGGGAAAACCACAATAACAAACACAAGCAGCTTTGGAAAAATCAGCAAGACCTTTTTAGCTAATGTTTAGGGATAATCAAGAACCACTCACTGACACATGTCGAATAGTATTAAATGTAGTTCTAACATAAGACAGATTGTCGTTCTATAATACAAATTGTTGCAAATGAGGTCTCATGAATTGCAGTATAACTAATAAATGCATCACCTTAAAATGTAAAATAATTGCTTATTTCTAAAATATAATTTCTGTCTTAGATACTAATTCTTTTGGTCCTGGCATTCAACAAGTAGATAAATACAACACAAATATGGCTGGATTAGTACAAGAATTCTAGAAAGCACCTCATCCATATCATCATTATTATAAATGCCATATCGAAATGCCTGACTTAAGTTATTTGCCAAAGCTGTAACATCATAATCCCTATCCTGGTAATCATCATCACTATCTCTCCTGTCTTGTAATGTAGTCGGCCTCCTGTTAAAATTGATTAAACCAAATAAAACTCGGAGAGAAAAAATGTCATAAATAATATATCAAATAAAAGAGTCAGCAGGTAACAGCAACTTGAAGAATCTTTCTATGCATTTTCCTGTCAGTGTCTCAATTTTTTGGCATGCAAATGAACAATTCAAGTTGCAAAAACTCATCCAAATCATGCCTGACACTCAAAATCATTCATGCTTCCAGGTTTGGTGACTGATTTTAAAAAGAAAGGCAGAACCACAGAAGTCATTCAGTGATAAAAATATTAAAATCAATTCCCTAGGAATATTTCAGAATATCAAAACCCCAATATCCTAAGCAGTTCATAACTTCACAAGAGTTCAATTATAACCATCCAGCAATAAAGAAAACTGACCAAGAACACACCCAAGTGACTACATTAAAACAGATGCAATAATTATCCAGAACAAATTTACATTGCTCAGAAAGATGATTATCAGTGTACCTAAAACATTTTAACATTTCAAAAAGCTTTCAAAATTCAGTTTAAAGGATCAGAGAATCATTCTATTTTAGATTTGAAAATAGGACTCTATGTGAATACCTACATCATCCATGCTTTTCTTCTCTCGTAAGTCGTACCATCTGTTTACACTTTATAATTCTATATATAACTTGCTCTTGAGCAGACTCACTATAAGAGACAGTTCTAAATATCCGCTAATGGGATATTCCGTGTTGTCTTATGTATTGGGTATTATTATTAATAAACTATGAGGTACTCTTTTCTTCCTTCCAATGTTCGTTAACATACTTCTTAGTAAGTGACCGAATACGAAGGGAGTTTTTAATGAGACCTCCAACTTCTATAAAAAAAATATGTCCGCTAATGGAGCAACTGAAGAATTTCAAAGCTCCTAACAACTCAGGCAAATAAGTTTGACACCTTGAACAACTTGCATAGGGACATTGACTAGAAAATTAAGGCTTATGCAAAAATTATTTTCAAATCCAACATTATATTGCTCTCCAACCAATAAATTAATAACCATTCTTCTAGTTTGTGTAATTTCATTAACCTTCATCCATGTCATTTCAAAACAATATAATAGTAACGTTTACCTTATCCATTGACTTCAAGGCCTTTAGTGTTTATTGATAATATTGCAGAACAGTTCTACTACAACACTATCACCCTTCTCCAACTAAAGAAAGTGACTATTTAGCAGGCTATAGAAAGTGACTATTTAGCAGGCTATACAATAATGTCAATGGGGATCAACACAGCTATAGGGGCAATGGTGATGTCAACAAAGTTCTACCTTGCAGAATTTTAGTTTTAGTCATGCTGAAAATTTCAATTCACACAGAAATATGGCAACTGCAGATGACAGCCGCACAAATGTGAAATAAAACAACAATCGGAGAAAGATGACATACCCACAAGCCCACTGGTAAACATTTTCAATAGCATTACGCTTTGATAGAACATTCTTCTGCCAATCAACCCATTCACTATTTTCCTGACAAAAGAAAAACAATTAAGAACATGGCCACTGAGACGGGAAAAAACATTTTGCATCTGGCAGCAATTGATAAAACTTTTCCCCTTGGATCATCCCAGAGGTTAGAACTTGGAGATCTCAAGGTTCAAAGTTAGGGTAAAGGAGAGGAGTTAATGACATGGGAGAAGGCTGTCTCCCTATACTTGAGCTTTTTCAAAGTTGACAATAACTTTTCCACTGGGGACAGTGTTAAAGTAAAACGGTAACTCTTTTTTCTTTATACATAAAAAGATACCTATTACATCAGTTTTTTAGCACTTCCATAATTATAATTTCATGAAAAAAATTCTCATATTTTTCGGGAGGTTTGTAATTTGGTCTGTATTTTGTTTCAGAATCCCATTTCTTAGTCCTCGGCTGATAGAAAGTTCTTAAACTAAACATTGTTTATAGTTCCACACTTCATGCAATTCCTGATTATGGATGATTAATATTCGTCACAAAATCAAATGCAGAGGCAGAATCCTTATTGTATAGATCAAATTTTAGATATCACTCAATAGTCGATAGGAGAAATCAAGGTCTACTACTGATTCTTAAATCAGAAATTCAAGATATTTCAAGTTCAATTAAGTGTTGTAAATTGCAAGGGTACACAACACTGAAAAGTAACTAAGAAAATTAAATGAAGGCTGTAGGAAAGATATAAAACCTGCAGATATGCCTGAATTTCGCCATTGCTATTTCCGAGCTGAACAAGTTTGTTAGATATACGAGTCAAGTGACCAATATTCCCCATCTTTGGTGGTGCTCTACCTTCAGCACTAACTGTTGGCTGCAGGAGATTGGACCAAAGGAAAACCAAAAACCACTTCAGCATTAAAATAAAGATGGGAGCAGGCAGAAGGTAAAAAATTAACAAGTTCAAACAATAAAAATGTAGAACAAAAGAATAGGCCACAGAACAACTCTTCCAACACAGATCCAATAAGATAGGATAACTACCATATTTGGATCAGAAGCTAACATGCAATTCTTTTCGGCTTCAAGTATTTTTCCCAAAAGGTTACATTCACGAAGAAGATTTTCAACAAGTGGAACATTTTTGCTCTCTAAGCATGACAATATTATGTTCTCCACAAGATGATGTAAGAAATTGTTGTATGGATACCTGCATACAGAACCAAAGGAATGAAAAATAGGATCCAACCGTCAAACATATCAATGCACAGCAGGAATCTTAAATTTACTCAAAGAATAAGTTCAGAATTCTTTGCACAGAACCCAGTTGAATCAATTCCTTTTCAGCAGCTTCACTTCCAACCATCAGCAAGACTGAAATAAGCTCTACAATCTGGAGAATCACATGTCAATTATAAATAATCCCATCAGGTTTCTGGTAGTGCATTTAGTGATCCATGAATAGACTGTAAGTGGATTGGTATATAAATTATGAAGTTCATCAGCTAAAGCTGAGTCATGCAGGAACCAAAAAAGAAAAGACATATTTGATCCTCAAAATCCACACACAAAAAAAAAGTAACTTTGAAAGCAAAGTACCTTCAAACGGTGTTTCCCAAGCGGGGGCTGTAACTTTCCATAAGTTGTTAATAAGGTTGACTCTGATGATGAAATGTCCAAGAGCTTCAGCAAATTACCTGCAGCATGTTAAGATGAATTATTAGTTATCCTGTGAGATAAGACTGATGTATAAGCTCAGTCATAATGAACTACTTAAGCATCTTTCATAAATTATGAAGAACAGACAGGTCAGAATCCCCAAAGTAAAAGCCCTATTAGTTTCGGATACTTATATGCATCTGACACATTCAGATACATATCTGACAGAAAGGGACAGATCTGAGAAATGGATGGGCATGGAAATGAAAGGAACAATAAATTGTAGTAATCCTTGATTGGAAAGAGAAGCTGTGATGTGGATTAGATTATATTGAATATGCAATACAACTACAAGAATAAGCATACAATTGAAATGTTCATATACAATTTTTTTATTAGATTTTTTATTGCAAATTACTTATATTTTTATCTAAATTAACGAAACACTTTTTATTGCTGTATCCCACTGTATTCTATCCTAATTTTTTAAAGCTTTTCATATCACCATTTCCAAATTGTATAATACCCAAGTCCCTAATTTTTTCCAGTGATTCTTATGTCATGAGAAAATAGTGGGATGCTGATGATTTTTCTTCCTTTCCTTCTAGTAGTTGAGAATATGCTTCAAAAGAGTAACTCTAAGTGGAATATACAAATAACAATAAATCATATGCTATGAAAATAAAGCCCCTGTAACGTCTTCAGTTAATTCTTTTTCCAACTACGAACAAGGTGAGTCAGCAAAAGGATTTTGTCATGCAGCTATAGTAAACTAGAAGAGATGGCTTCACCTAAATTCTCCAGCATGCCTTCAACTGTCTTAGGGTTTGCAGATATTGTTGAACCTGGAGAGACTTGGTGGTTGTACGTACGATATACACCCAATGTTAGCCTCTTGGGATCTAACAAAGATATATAGACAGACAAAGAATTGACCAAAACAGATTTTGGTCTTGAGTCTTCCAAAGCATGACGAAATAATCTTCCCATGAAACTTCACGACAGCACCCAAAAAAACACCAGAATTAAATTATTTATTATTCGGAGAACACTTTAGCAAATCTAAAAGAAAAAATGAGAAGAAAAAACAACACTTACTTTGGGCTTGTAATTTTGGCAGCAAGACCAGGAGGAGCAAATCGTGTTATAGCACATAAGGTTTCAGCTGCATTTGCATGCACCTCAGTAGAGTCCTGTAAAATACATTTTAACAATTTTCAATGAGAACCACATTTAAAAAACAATAAATGAAATAACACCTAAATCACAAGCCCTTGATAAATGTAAGTCAGTGATACTCTTCAAAGATCAGAAAACATTTATCTAGGAATCACTCCAAGATATCTTGCAAATAATCAGCTTATCATCTCTATCATTCTTATATATGAACTACATGAATAAAACATGACATTCAACATAAGGAATAATAAGTTTTAAATACTTTAAAAATGTGAAGTAGTATAAGATTTAATAAATTGTTAATTCTTCTGCACATTTTTACAAACATATCTTAGTGTGAGTGTACATTAGTCGTTCCAAAAGTGCCCTGAACTAGAAGACAAGAAAATGTCCGCATTTTATCACTTCAAATTCTACCCTAGAAGTCATTGTTTGATGCTAACATATTTTCAACCTAAGGCTCCTCGCTTGCATAAGGGCTGAACTGTGGAAGGAATAGAAAGTGACAAATACTTGGACAAAATCAGAGATATCATCCTAAAAAATGAAGGAAAAATAAAAAATGAGCAGATAAAGCCAGGGCACAAGTTCAAGAAAACCTCCACCTATCCCACACATAAAGGTGTGGAAGAGAAGTAACAACCACATTTTACCAAAGTAGAAGAAAAGCACACATTTTGGTATGCTCAAACAGTTAAAGGCTCTTACTGTTGTGCTGAACTTGTCCACAATCAACTCCAATATATTTGTATTCTCTATCCATTGCATTGACTCCATGTAGTTAGTGTACATATGCTCATCAGCACCGATCAAACGTATTAAAACCTGCTTAACAAAGAATGTTTCTCATAAGCTAACTAAAATCCTCTCAGTAGGGTCGGAAGTGGCAATCCGAGATCAAAGCTTATTTAATTCATTGCAAAAAGAAATACTTTGATAACATAAAATTTGGAAGAAAAATCAAATGCATAAGAAATCCCAATTAAATGCGCACAGAGAATAAAAAGAGTAAAAAAAAAATAGGTCCATATATGGAGAGAGAGAAAGAGAGAGAAAATAAAGATAAAGAAACACTAACCTCCATTATGGAAGTTATACCAATCAGGTCAACTAGCATCTCAACAATTTCCTGATGACCCTGCACAGGATCATGAAGGCAGCCAATCAATATCAATGATAAAATGGCAACTACAGATTGAATTCAAAACGAGACCAGCTATGTTCCTTATACAAAGCATTACAAACAAAATAAGCATCAACAACTGCAACACAGCCATATAGGTGATGCTTGACATAACAGCAAACTGCCACCAAAATTCAGCAAGCTGATATTTAGAATCCTCTTCCTAATGAGGGAACATACATTTTTTAGGGGAAACCATGAATTTCCTACCAATTTGGAATGTGCAACAGGGAAAACACCTCCAATGCTTAAACAATCATGGACAAAAAGATTAACAATACTACAGATTTTTTTTTGATATAAAGATGGCCTCGTTAAAAAACCCCATCATAACCGCCGATCTACAAAGATAGATCAGCGGACATTGGATGGAGGAAAAGAGTGCCAATAATTTTATTGCTAAAAAAACAGATACAGCATCAGTACACAGACCAATTACAATCATACTCCAACCACCATACAACAAAACCCAATACAAACTACCAACCATATCGTACATATTTCCCCCTCGTCAATCCTATCCCATACCCAACTTGGCAAACTCATCTGCCTTGTGATTGGCAACTCTGTTAATATGCCTAATGACCACACCCCTCTTTAACACTATATTAGAAATATCATTCACCACAGCTTTAACCAAAGGAGTACAAGAAGCTGGATTTTTAATCGATTCAAGATTTTTAATACTACATATATTTAACTGATAGACAATCATTGAGATAAGGGTTAACAATATTACAAAAGAGAAAATACAAGATCATAGATGAAGCTACCCCTAAAACGAAGGGCACAACTGAATTCAATAGTTAGATTGACCAAACTGCAATGCTTATCACAAAGTCCTGATTCTAAGATGACTATTTGTTTAAAACCAAATCAGATTTTTTTGATAGGAAGTGGAGGCATCGTTAAAAACCTCCTTCATGATTGAAGGAACGCCGAAAGGTGTTCCTTTATCAGCGGAAGAAGGAAAAGAGTGCCTCAAAATTCATTAATAACCGAGAAATTACACAATGTTTAAAAACATCGAAGACCCTTACAAATAACAACCCGAAATACTCAAACTAAAACCGAATCAGATTTTGAAAGCAAATATAAATTCTATCAACAAAAAAAAAAAGCAAATATAAATTTAAAGTTCATTCTTAGAATGATATGTGTCAAACTGTCAATATATAATACCAAAGTAAGACAGTATTCACATAAATGTCATGTAATAGCACCCAAAAAATCATCATAACTATCTTAGCAGAATAAATATATATAAGGGATTCCTCAATCAAGTTTAATAGAATCTTAAATGTACCTTAATATACTGCATGAATGACGATGTCTTCCGCAACAGCAGACAAATGACAACCTAGCAAGAAAAAGTAATCAAATAAGAAAATACATAACAAGATATTTTTAATCCCTGAATTAAACAGAGCAAACAAAATTAAAGGCAAAAGAGCTACAATTCTAAACATATGAATATCTCAAGAGTTCAGAACAGAATACCCTGCTGAAGTACCCTGCCAGCTGGGTGCTATGAGAGTGATTTTTATTCAAAAAGGAAAATAGCAAGTTCATTAACTGCAAAAGGAGCAAGCACAAAATGATTTAGAAACTAATATAAATAAAAATACAACCACAAAAAAGGGGGAAATAAAAGGGTCAACTTCGTACTCCCTCATCTTCTACTAATGTTTTTAGTATGATATCAACCTCACATGTAAATATCTCACATGCAATTGAAGGAAACCTACAATCACACAAAGCAAACATTACAAAACATTATGTATATAGTAATATCAAGGGAATAGGGTTACAATCTGATCAACTAAAACTATTAAAACCTACTTGAAAATTTGCTTCTTATCAGCATTTTGTGGAGGTTCTACAACAATATATTGTATAAGTTGTTCAACCTGAGCCTTATCCCGCAAACTGCAGATAAGAACAAATACAACAGTGAAAAAAAAAACAAAGCATAGATATAAAATTAGTCATTGATATACAGACTATTTGCAAAGTACAGATTCAACTTAGCAAGTATCCAACCCTGCCAAAATTCAAGCCATCTACATCATCTGTCGAGTTCCCAACTAAGGTTATTTTCTTTGATATGGAAGCAAAGTGAGAAAAGGGAACTTTAGCATAATAGATGCTTTTTATGCAAAAAAAGAAGCTGAGTTGACCCATCATCTCTTAAGAACTGGCCAGTGGGCAAGACAACTTTGGCACATGGCTTATGCAATTTTAGATAGAAATTGGATTGTTGCCCGTTAATTGAAAATGAGTTACAGGTTTGGATGGGTTCACATTCTAGTACAGGTGGTAAAAATGCTTTAGCTTGACCTGCTCCAAGTATAAACCATGACACAGTTTTTGAACACTGGGCTTTGTGCTTTTACTTTGAAATTGTTGATATCTTCTTGGGGTCGCCTTTATGTCCTTCAGGATTTTTTTTTTCATTTCATCTTCTAAGGATCCATTTGGATTACCAGTAAAATTAAAGCACATTAATGGAAGAATTAATTATTGTAGTGGTAACTGGTGAGATAGGAATTAATAATGGGCTATGTGTTTCGATGTAAAAGAAGCAGTGGTTGGGAGATAAAGTGTAGTGAAAAGCAAAAACTATTACAAAGGATGTTAAAATACCTGCATGGTGATTAGATTTTAAAAGCACTGCATGAGCACATTATTGTTTAATTGGAACATGATGGTACAGAACAATTTAACATGCTATGAGTTGAAACAATAAAGGAAGCAAGCATATGCAGAGACTAGACAGCATACAAGTTTATAAGCCGTCCATTGAGGGATTTGCATTCCTGAATAATTTCATCCTCATCAAGAAGCTCCTCCAATGTAAAATTATCCTTATCTAGAATTGTATCAATCTGCATTGATCACAAAAACAAAAAATTGTCAAAAGAAAACCAAATAAAAGAACAAAAGCCATACTTTCTAAGAAATGCTTTAACAGAAAATGGCCTTGGTCCTTGAATATCATTTCATTCTACAACAGGAATCATACGGAAAACACACATCATCTGCCCCATCTAAAACTTAAAATATAAACAATTATTACAGATTTGCTATCTTAGGCTTCTAGAGAAAAACATGGCGCCTGGGTAAAATCCTAAAAAAATTCTGCAGATTATTTTTTGCTGCAACTAAAATAATAAAGTAAGCTTAAGATTCCACACAGATTCTCACTTACTTCAAAGAAAAACAAAGGGTCCTACTATTTCTATTCCTTTTGCAAATCTAAACTATATTAATGTAGACAATATTGTCCTCCAATCCACTCATCCAAATCTCTCAATAGAGGTAATTGAATATTGAAAACGTTGATGCAAAAGTACAAACATCGAAATTTAAATTTGAAAACATGCCAATTGATTCCAAAGGAAGCAGAGTACTCATTTTATCCCGTAATAAATGCTGTCTAATCCATGTACTTGATTTGAATGGAACAATGTACGGAGTTAAACGCCCCTTTAGTCTACATTGTACCAATATTCTAACAATGAGGAGGAGTACCCAATACTTGTAGCTTTTGAAGAATTCCAAACTTTGAAACATAATATTTCAGGGCATTATTATTCTTCTAGTAATTTACCAGCAGCCAAAAAGAAATCCACGCATAAAAAGAATAAGAAAATCCATAATTCAATCAAATTCATGAGAAATGGCGTACACCTCTGCCTAGCTAAAAAAACAGAGGAAGAAAAAAGCGAAACTCACAGGAGACGCAGTTGACAATCCAGTCATACGCCAAAACATCTTTGCAAAACTTTAGCAGCGAAATCGCATCCAAGAAAGAACCCAGATCTGAAATCAGAGAAAACCCTGTGAATCTGCGAATTCAAACAAAACAAAACGGAAAAGGGACCCGACGGCGGCGAAAACCCCAAAATTTGAACGGTGCATATTCAAAACGAAAACTCAAGAAAAAGGTGGACGTTTTCTGGGATTGGATCAAGCCATGGATTTGCGAGCGGGCGATGAAGGACACCAAAAAAACAACCCGTAATCGCGGAATTGTTTGGAGAAAACCACAAATAAAATTATTTATATTAACTTGAATTATTATCTTCTGACTAGGAAAAAAAACTTGAATTATTATATCAATATTACCATAGGATTTTAACTTGAAAAAAAAGCATATATGATGTTTTAATGGTTTTCTATATGGTGAAGTATACAATAGGTCGTTTAATAATATTTAAATAATTACTTATCAATAAACTTTCAAAAATTATAAAGCGATAATTAAATTTACCAAGCAATTATAAAATATTTATTAAATTATTATAAAATAATAATTATTTTATAAAACAATCATTAAATTAATCAAATTTTATCGTTATTATAACGTCATATTAATTATTTTATGAGTGTTTGATAATAATTTTATAATTTTTAAAAAAATTAATAATCAAATAATTATGTAGATATAATTTATTGATCTTTTGTATACAACGTAATTAAATTCAAACATCATCTACTTTGACAATATTTTTTTATTTTCTACTTTGTTTTAATTATCCTAGGAAAATATTTTGATTTAATTGAAATGGTTGGATTGCATGTTGTTCTAGACTGTCAATACTACTTTGACTTGAAATTGCATTTCTCTAGTAAGTCATTGAAGTATGGGTGTGATATTGTGATTGTTAGTTTTTAATGATGGTGAAGAACATTTTATTGAATTTTTGTATGATATTAATTGAAATTTTATATAATAATAGTAGAAATAAGGAATAAAATATGACGATGAATGATTTTTAATAACTTTAAATGTAATTACATATAGATTATTTTGTGATAAGAAATATAATATTAAAAAATAATATGATAGATGAAAAGAAAATGATAATCCGTGAACATGTTATATATATATAAAGGATGGGAGTATTTTAGCAGTACTTTCAATAAACAAATGTCATGTCTGATTTAATAATTTTACACATGTATGTTAAACGTCGAAAACAATAATCGAGTTCATATAAGAGAGATAATAATTTTAGTTAATCTATTATTAATGCATATTATAGATTTTTTCAATCCTCTATGTTATTAATATTTTTGACTAATGAATGTGGTACATGGAACATTGTTGTATTCATTGTACCTATAAAATCACTTTAAGTATTTTAAGAACAATACGATGGATGAAAAATAAATGATGATTTTTAAATATAATATGCGAGATATTTAATCATCTCATGCGAAATTTTAGAAAGAAAAAAATGAAAGCGATTTTGCAATGCCTTCGATAGACCAGTGTTATAGATCTTTCGATTAATAAGGAAAGTAGAGTGTTTGATAAATTGTTTGTATAATATTTATTTATTAAATTAAATTAATAAGTATAAATAAATTTTTATATTTATTTAATAAATTAATATAAACAAATATATATTTAATTCGTTTATGTTTATGAAAAAAGTAATTTGAAAGTTTTTTTATATTATTTATTTTATAAGTTCGTTTATTTAATTTTCTTCTTTTATTTTTTATTATGAGTCCTAAGGACGTGAGCTGGTCCCCACAACAATCAATGCTCTCTTTTTATCTTTAACAAATTATGAATCACCACAAAAATCCAATTAAACTATCTCGAACTGAATATATTTTATTGAATTTTTTATTTGTTTCTTTAGTTAACATTTATGAACATATAAACGAATATATCAGCGAATGTTAAATAAACATATTGATAAATACTAAATAAATATGTTGATGAATATGTACGCGAACATTAAACGAATATATTAATGAAAGTTAAATATACATGTTTACAAATGCTAAATGAAACAAATACGAACATCTTAAAAACTAAAAATTGAACATGAACACGATATTAAAATTTTAAATAAATATGAACCGAACATGAATATCTTAAGAAAAAAATGAATGAATATAAGTACAATCTTATTCGTTCAAACTCAGTTCATTTACACCCTTATAATCAATCATACATTGTTTTTATCCAAAATAGGGTCATGCTATCGATCTTAAGGGGATGTTTGGTTCGCGGGAAATATCATTACCAAGGGAAGTAATCTTTTAGGGTGCATTTGATTCACGGAATGTAAGATTACCAGTGGGAATAAAAGATTAACAGGGAATAGAATTACTGGAATATTACATTACTGTGTTTGGTTAGTTTGGCAGTAATGTAAGATTACAGTGTTTGGTTGAAGGAATAAAAGATTATTAAAATGTATATTTTACCAAATTGTCATTCTTCTATATTTTCTAACAAGTGAAATTCTAAATATTTAAATAAAAATTATTTATATAAAAATTCTATTTGTTGATAATATATTACTTGGGTATTTAAATATATAATGTATTATTTTAATTTTAATTAATATTAAATTTTACATAATTTATGTAAAAATATATTAAAATTTTACATCAACATTTAACAAAATGTTTACATTGTAAAAATTCTTCATAGATATTTATATTAATAAAAGGATGTAAATTATTTTTGTTATCTAAGATATAATATTTATTATATCTTCTATATACAATAATTTATGTATTTATTTATTTTTTATATTTATACTTAATTTTGCATACTTTATCATTATTATTTATCTCATGAATTTATATTACAAAAACATAATTCAAATAAGTAAGAAAATATAACACTAAAAATCATATTGTCTATAATTTTATATTTCACCGTGATTCATCATTATCTTTGCTAATATTTTAATAAAATTATTAATGCTCAGTTCTAATATGATTTGTACTTAACTCTTGATTACGAAAAGCAAGCAACCCAATAATTCATGTTTCCCAACCTGTAATTCTCTCCGAACATACAAAAACCGACAGAGGCCAAACTTTGAACATACTAGACCATTAATTTCTTTCAGATCATATACAAAATACAAGTGGAATAGCTTACATGTATTTAAAGAGAATTCTAAAACAGTTTTAAGTGGTTGCTAATTCGACCATGTCCGAATTATTCTAAGATATCGGTCATGAGATTACTAATTCGGCTATGTCCGAATTATTGTAAGCATGTCTGAAATTTGACTTATTTCCGAATTATTTGAACTATTTGTAAGGTGAAAATGATGCCCTATTTAACATTAAAAGCTGTAGCGAAAACCAAATTTTTGAACTGATACTGTTGAGGATTAGTTTTTGGAGATAATCTAAATTTTTAAGCGTAAATAGTAAAAACGAAGATGATGCATAAAAATTTTGATACATAATTGTTGGGGTAAATAAATTAAGTTTGAATGAATATGATTTTATTTGTATTTGTTTATTTATTTTTTATAAGTATTTATGTTTAATTTGTATTCATTTAATTTTTAGTGTTGTATTTATGTTCGTTTATTTATTTTTTCAGAGAACTAACAACTATGCCCCAATTATTAACCAATATACGCTATATAAACAATGCACTCCATTATGAAGGGTCAAAACCTCAAAAACCAACTTTTTCAAATCCATATAAACGCTCTTTGTTTGTTCAGAACAATATACCCGAGTAATGTGAAGCTTTCCCCGAACACTGCCGGAATTATAAGGGTGTGGTATTTCAAGCTTGACTTCAATTCCTAGTATAAAAAAGGAATAAAGGCATATAATAACATATGGAGAATTTGAAGTTTAAACAAATACAATTGGTTTGGTTACCGGAAAATGACAGGAAAACGGTAATGAAACTTGGGTTTAATTTCAAAAGTTCGATCCAAACCCATTATCATAATTCAATTTTCTCAAATCGTTCTTCTACAGACCATAACCGAACAATGGAGAAAGGAAATCTAAAACGTATAAAAATAGTAAGAACTAAAACGTTTTGTTCAAGAGCTAACCCAAGAAACAAATACAAATAAGAATTGTTTGTTAGCATTGTTTCATAAGTACAAACAAATTAAGATGAACTGACCTGGATATACAACTTAACTATAGGATAAAATATCATAGAATAATCAGTTACTAAACAGTACAAACTAACCCTTGCAATGTCTTCCAAAAACAAGTGTTAATGAATAACCTAAACATTACAAGTGTAGCACCATATCCAAAGTTGCGACACACATGGTAGGAGAATCATCGCAGGCAATCATAAATACAAGCATATATAAAATATGTTACTGAAAGTCAAATTCTCGCAAAAATATATATATTTCATCATTCGTATGAGCCAACTTTTGGATAAGCTTGTGAAACTTATCAGATGTGCTTGTATTTATTTGAGATTGTAATTAATGAACATTTTAATTATTAGCTTATGTGCTTATCAGTGGAGACATTATGAATTTATACCCGGACTTCAACTCAACCAACCTAGCTACACAAAATATTGTAACCTCTGTGCTTGAGAAGTAGTTTAGCTGCAGTTATATTACATGGGGTCGGTTACCATCAGCAGAAGACATTATTTTCCTCAAAAAAAGGCCTCTAGAAGAATGAAAAACTACGGACTAGTTTCTCATGGAATAAGTTCCACGAAGAAATTTATAAAAATACCGAAAAAACACACGTATTGAACAAAGTATAGCACAAACTAAATCTAATATTACCACCTTGGAGATCTTCAGTTTAAAGGATGCCCGCCCATTTGATAATTTACAGGTCGATCAGAAGAGGCAAATTCAATTCCATCACAACTAACTAGAAGATGAGGTTCTTCACCATTTATCTTCTTAACGGGTAACCGATTAAAAGCATACAAGAGTGATGCCACGACCTTTCCAACAAGCAATGTGAAAAATTAGGTGCTGAAGGTAAAAACTGTACTACGAAATTAAACTTAAATACTAAATTACCTCTAGTTCATTGTTTACTGGCTGCCCAAAGATATCTAATAAAACAACATCCAAGGAAAAGATCCGACAACGATATGCCTGTGAAAATATAAGTTAAGATAAAATATAAGGAGCGGTAAACTCATATCATTCAGGAATCAATAAGGTTGAAAAACTGTCTTGTATTCTGTGAAATGAGCAAGATATACTCTAAGCTACTCTTAGTCTTTAAGTACCCATGTTCAACACATACTCAAGCTTGTACATGCAAATCTTGGAAAAGAAAATTTGCCTTTACAACAAATTCAGAGTAAATAGGCTATATTACCACATCAAATGCTAAAGATTGGGGATAAAAGCTAACATATCAGCAATATTTTCATACCAAGATAAGAATATCCTTTTACTTTTGAGTTTGAATGTCTTTACAGTTGGCCGGTTCTATCAGGCTTGAACATTTATTGCTTAGACTAAAGTAGTGGCATGCAAGTTAACAACCTATTACTTTATTTATTTCACAATCCGACATCAATATTGGGAGACATTTTAAAATTTTATATCAATTTTATGTGCATCTCCCAATAGATGATGAAAACAAGTAGGAAACAAAGCTCAGTTATATCAATAGGACCAAATAAAACCAATCCATTATGTTCACTCATTCCGAAAACTATCTCGAACATTTCAAACACCATGGCAAAATATTAAAGTAACATATGAAACTACAAATAAAGGTGCAACATATGATACCTCGTATCCGACATGTATCTATTTGTTTTGGTTTTGTTCAATCTCGGCGGTTAATCGTAAATCAGTGTTTCCAGGACTAGGAGCTTCTTTGAGTAGGCAAGTCAATGGTAAAAGCATCAATGTCTTTCCGTTTAGAACAAGTAAAGGGGACATGCTATTAGTCTCTGCATACACCTATTTAAAAAAAAGTCGAACTTAATAGAAAAATCGAAATCGAAAACTCTAATAAAGGTAAATTACTAATACAAATTTAAGAAAACGATCATCAAAATAATGAAGATTGTTGCTCTAGTAGGTGATAACAGGAGAGCTGAAGCTACAAAACAATGACGAATCATTAAAAGGAACAGAAAAATAAGAAATGAGTATTTTCCTAACATCCAAACAGAAAAGAAATCAAACCAAGAAAGATAGGACGTGATTAATAATTTCTTCTTGCAAACTACTCATTAAATCACATAAAAAACACAAAAGCAGAACAAAAACCAACAAGGAATGAGAAATGGGTGATTTCCCTAACACAAAAAGATCAAATTTTGAGTTGCTAAACCTGTTCAAGAATGGTTTCGGGATATACAGAATAGAAGTTGAAGATAGAAACCCAGAAGCATAAAACAAAACCCTTTTCTTCATCAACTTCAGTTTTCACTTATAAATCCTTCAGCAAAATGTAATATTTTTTTTCTTATTATCGGATTGTTCTCACCGAGAGCTCGTCGGCGAGCCCAAGGGAGAGGAGGGCATGGGTCGGTGGAGTTTAGACGGTTTTCTGGGGAAGGTTATGGAAAAATAGAAGGGGAGAAGATAACCGGTTTAAGAGTCTAATTGATTCAACTATGAATATAACCGGTTTAAGAGTCTAATCGATTCAACTATGAATATAACAGGACCCTATCAAATATCCTTGCTTTTACTTTATAGTTTACAACCTCCTCTTTAAGACTATTCAATCTTCCATTAAAGCTCAAATACTGTACAAGATTATGAAAAAATGGCAGAATGGATCCAAGCAAAACAACAAAAACTATAACTCAAGGTTAACTTAAATCGACTACATTAATTTTTATGGAAAAATTAAACAAGTAAAACATTTCCAGGAATAAACACACGAGGGAGAGGAGAAAAAATCTTACCAGGAGAACGATGAATTTTTCGTAGAGGCAAGCTCTCATGAGGGATAAGAAGATATCGCAGAGGTAAACGAGAAAAAGAATGGTATTTTAGCTCTTAGCACATGGGAATAAAAGAATATCTAACGGGTGTGTGGAAATAACATTTCCAGGAATAAACACACAATATTTAAATCATCAAGGGTGGAGTGTGCAGTTTTGAATGTGTATGATCCTTATATTGAGGCAGAAAAAGAGGCTTTTTTCAAAGAATTTTTGGATTATGTAGTAGTCCAAAATGTCCCAGTGTGCATTGGTGGTGATTTTAAAGCATATTTACAGTCGGATGAAAAGTTGGGGGCATCTCAAAATTGGCATACGATGGAGTTGTTCAGGGACTTTGTTCAACATTCTCAGTTAATGGACCTTCCTTTAGTGGGTGGCAGATTCACTTGGAGTAGCAAAAGGGACTGTCCAACGTGGGTCAGATTGGATCATTTTCTCATTAGTGGCGAATTTATGATTTCATTCCCGAACTTAGTTCAAAGTCTTCTTCCTATGTCTCTCTCGGATCACAATCCGATTTTGTTAGAAGAGAATCGACTGAATTGGGGCCCTAAACCATTCAGTTTCTTCAATTATTTATTAGAGGAAAAGGGGTTTGAAGAGTTGATCATTTCTAAAATTTCTAACCTTACCAGGGAAAATAATCGTAGAGGCATATTTAGTATTCTGCAAGGTACTAAAAAGGCGATTAAAAATTGGTTGGGCAGCAGGCAACATACTGATATTTCAGACTTCATTTCGAAGCTGGAAAAGAAAATTTTTTGATATGGAGTTGAATTTTCAAAATATCAGTTTCTCGCAACAAGATTGGAGGCAGTTATTGCACTTTGAGAGTGAACTATAGAGGTTACACATGATAGACGAGAGGATTTGGTTTCAGATTCGGAAATATTTTTTGGTTGTTCTGTCATAGGAAGAAAATAATACAAGGACAATTTCTAGAGAGGAGCAGATTAGGATCGAATGCGTCCTATAGCTCTAATGCCATGAACATATATGAGAAGAAATTAATTTCTTACACTTTATTGCTCTAATAGTAACTTACAATTTATAAGGAAGAAATAGTCTAAGTTAGTAATGATTCCTAAGATCAGAGAATTAGATTAGTGACTATTTACATAAAGCAAACTCATAGAAATAAGGAAAACAAAAGGATTTTATCCCTTGATTCTTGGAATTCTAACACTTTCTTTTCCTTTTAAAAAGTTGACCAGGTTGTGGCAATTGCAAGTGCTGTACTTGATGGTTTTAAAAGTGAATCAAAAAAGATGGTAGTTACACTAGAGGATATGGAGCGTGCATTTATTCCCCCTCAGCATTTCATTCGCCTAGTTCAGAGGCGGTATGTTAAGATAATTTTTCTTTACATCTAATGATTTTTTTTGGCTTTCTGGTTTCCTTCTTCAATAATATTTTTGATAGGAATAGTAGGTCTCGTTAAAAACCTCCCTCGTAAACCTCAATTAGATAATTTCATAAGATACACATTACACTGTAATGTGTATCTTATATTAAGATAATTTCAACTAGCTGAAGGAGGAAAAGAGTACCTCAATTTATTAATAACCCAGAATTACATAAGATACACATTACACTGTAAACCTCCTAACAAAACAAAACATAACATCAATAAGGCTATGAGCGTTCAATAATGTCCTTAGCAGAAACTAATGCACCAATGTCCCCAACCAAGGACCTAAAAAATGAAGGGGCAAAAAACGGCCTCAAAATCTATTCCACTGCTGATGAACAATCACTTTCTAACACAAGTCTTTCTTTCGTCGCTCATTGAGAAGATAAAAATAAATCAATTCCCTCTTTAATTGCTTTCAATTCGGCAAACATAGGAGGACATGGTCCCATAGCAGTAGAAAAAGAGATAAGAGTAGAGCCACTCGAGTCTTTCAAAATCCCTCCAATTCCTCCATGTAAACCATCAAACCTTACTGCCCCATCCACATTGAACTTAAAAAAATCTGGTGGAGGAGGGTACCAGCAGGGATCCTTCTTCATCTTAGAAGGAGAAATTACAATACCGTCTGCAAGCCTTGTATCCCCTACCAGTTGATCAACCTGAATATTAGCATGAGGAAATTTTGCTAAAAACCATTTGGCCAGCCTGAATCTCGAAATGAAAAACAATAAAGTCGTGTCAAGTTTTCCATTTTCGAACACCACATAATTCATATCCTTCCATAGACCACAAAATAACACCGGGGATAAACTTCCAAATAGAAGACGTTGCCATAAAATAAGACCAAGAACAAAGTAGGGACTGGATCTTTAGGCAGAACTGTAGCTAAATCCCATAATCTTAGGAATCTATTCCACAGCTCCCCTGCAACCGGAAAAAAGAGAAAAAGATATTGAATTGATTCTTCATCCTTAAGACATAAAGGACAAAGAACATTATCCAAAGGCACCCCTCATTTCTTCAGCTCCACTCTAACAACCACTTTATGGTGAGCTAGCTGCCATAAAAAAGTTTGAACTCTGGGAGGAACCAATCCAGCCCACACCCATTTATTCCACTGATAATTCCCTCTAGTTCTGCCATTAAGTGTCAGTCTACAAGACTTAGCCGAGAACAAACCATCACCTTCCCAGACCAAGCCAAAAAATCATTAACTGAATCGATCAAAACAATATTATCAAGCATTGACATTAAGGAAATTCACTGATCCAATTCCCAATCACATAAATTCCTCCTTAATTGGATATTCCAAACCCAACCTTTGTTTTCATAGCTATCAAAATCAACAACTTTCCCCCATTTATTATTAGAAAGAGCAAAAATCCTGGAAATTGATCCTTTAGAGTTGAGTTATTAACCCAAACATCATTCCAAAATACAATAGCTCTACCATTCCCCACTTGCATCTTCGAATAAAACCTCAAAGAGTCTCCAATTTCATCCTTTTTCTCATAGTTATTTCTAATTCCTCTCCAAATCCAAGAATCTTGAGAAGAACCTGTCGTACTTATTGAAAGGGATAAGTTATTGATATTATGCTTGCAACAAAGCATTTTCTTCCATTGTGAATCCTTCTTATTAGCAAACTTCCAAACCCATTTCCCAAGTGACACTCGATTGATTAAACTCAAGTCCAAGACACCCAAGCCACCCTCATCAAATGGTTGACACACCACATTCTAATTAACCCAATAAATCCGTTTCCTTGCTGGACCTTCCCCACAAAGGAATCTAGCCATTATTGAATTCAACTTATGATTTACCTTAGGAGGAATTTGAAAATAGACATGAAAAAAATCGGCAAGGAGGATAACACCGTCTTCACTAGCACCAATCTCCCAGCCAACGAAAGTGATGAAGCTTTCCAGCCTGCTAATTTGGTAGAAAAATTCTGGATCACTAGTTCCCACAGCAACTTAGAATTCTTAGTTGTACCAATCGGTAAACCAAGGTAAGTCATAGGGAAAACACCCACCCCACAGCCTGCCTCAGAAGCCCAATCCTTTAAACGATCAGTTTCCACATTAACACTATACAACTTACTTTTGGAAAGGTTAAGACTTAGCCCAGACATTAAACTAAAGACCCTCAACACTTTCCTAATATTCAAAATCTGAGTAGGCGAATCCCTGCAGAAAATAATTAAGTTATCTACAAATTGCAAATGGGTTGAAATAAAGAGATTATCCTCCATACCAATGTTAAACCCTTCGAACAGACCACAGTCAACAACCTTGACCAACATTAGGTTCAGCAGTTCCCCGGACAATGTTAAATAACAGAGGAGATAAACTATGACCTTGTCTTAACCCTTTGCCCATCTGGAATTCTTGAGTAGGAGAGCCATTAACAAGAACCGAAATAGAGGCAGATAAAATACAAAATTCAATCCATGAAATCCACTTATCACCAAACCCCATAACTTTCAATAACCTCAAAAGAATCGGCCATTCCACCGAATCATAAGCTCGTCAGAAATCAACCTTGAAAACAACACTTTTTCTCCAAAAATCAATAGCTTCATTGGCTAAGAAAGCACATTCATGCAACTGCATTCCCGGGATAAAGGCAAACTGTGAAGGGCTTATAATATCTTTAATAACAGACACAAGCCTTCTGGATAAGACTTTGGAAATAATTTTATACAGACTACCAACTAGGCTTATTGGTCTGTAATCTTCAATGCCTTCCGGATTTCTGATTTTGGGAATCAAAGTAATAAAGCATAATTGACCCCATGCTCCCAATCCCTCCCACTATAAAAATCATCAACAAATTCCATAATAAACGCCTTCAGGGTTGGCCAGAATTTCTTAAAAAAATCCATCGTGAAACTATCAGGACCCGACGCTTTTGAACTGTTGAGATCAATTTCATCCACCTCTAGGGTTGATTTCGAATTGTAGACAGCCTTGAAATAGTCAAAATAGAGCCTCTCAACTTCTCCGGGTTTGAAATAACAATACCACCCACCTTCAATGCTGAAATAGAATTAATTTTGTTCTTATTAAGGGCACATAAATGAAAAAACTTGGTGTTTCTGTCCCCCTCATTATTTCACTTCAGTCTAGACCTCTATAACCAAATACTCTCCTCATTCCTATGCAAATTCCACATTTCCTTCCTCGAAAAATCAATCAGCTCCCTTTCTTGATTAGATATCCCCCACTCTGAAACTTCAGCT